TTGCGAACATAATTATACAAACTTGAAACGGCCATATCTTATTAAAGTTTTACTAAACAGAAATAAAAAAGGAACCAAAAAAAAAACTAAATATAAAAAACCTGAAATTTTTATCTGTTCGAAATTTTGTGTATCTTTCATAGTTTTTGAGATATTTTTGAAGAAAGGCATTTTTAGGCAAACTTGAAAAAAGTTATCTTCTCATCACCCACGATTTTTCAAAACTAAGCTCTTTAAAATGGTTAAACTTTTATAAGTAAAAACAATAATTAAAAGTGGGTAATTAGGTGTTGATTTAATTTTTTATGTCGCCAAAAAATAGGGGCCAATTTTGTCATCATCATAACTCACTTAATTTTTAACTAGGAACTTCCATTAAAATATAAAGGATTTTTCAAGCAATTCAAAAAATTACTTTATGTTTTTTTCGAAAAATGCATTGATTTTTGAATATTTCACGTTGAAACTTTCGGTTTTGGGGTTTGACGAAAAAAAACCATCCTTTAACAAGCTATAACTCCGTTAGTCCATAAATTTATAACCATGGAGCCTATTGAATATAAACCAACAATAAAAAAAGTCCTCTTTGTAATATTACTCCAACTCATTAAATTAAATCGGTACAACAATCAATCAAATCTATCCTCATGGATGTTTGTATTGAATAGACTCCAAAACTATGAATCGTTTGAAAAAAAATCACATTCAAAATCCTACATTATCCCTGATGAACATAAGCCATAGAGTATTTTCAGAAATGTTAGGGTTCGTATGAAAACTTCGATAACTTGACCCAATGTGTGAAAAATACCAAAAAATAACCTTATATCGCTTACGCTGCGGATGTCATTGACAATAGAGCAAAGTGATGTACAAAGGTTTTATAGAGGACATGAATATCAACTAGTCCGCGATATCATATGTCTAACTTTTATAGTTATGTCACAAATAGAGGTCCCCTGCGGTTTTACCAGAGTTAATTTGAGGAAAAAGTTTGTAGTGAGTCAAACTGAAAACTGTTGCTATCTAATGCTAGGAGCGCGGGGACCGTTCAGTACTGGGCCCATTCCGGACTGGGACGAATCAACACAGAACCCATTCCACACGGGGCCCATTTCGCCCTGGGACCTTTCAACACAGGGCCTATTCCGTACTGGGCCCCTTTCGCAGTGGGCCCAGTGCGCACTAGGCAGATATAAATAAAAATACACATATTAATATTATCTGTACATGTTATTACATAGATAAGCTTTCAAATTATATATGTTTCATCGCTGCCGGAAACCGACTACCTATTTTGAACCAACTCCTTTACACGGGACCATCTCGTCAATTACCTGATTCTAACAAAACATAATCATGGGTCCAAATCTTAGAGATATGCGTGAATAATAATAATAAAAAAGAAATATAACCTGCGACTTTTTGAAATCGGGTAAAGATGGCATATGATTAATTCAACATTCGGAATACAGTTGCTTCTTATATAACTCAAAAACAATATATTTTTTTGGTTATTTAAATAGAAATATTTAAATTACAAAAGCTTAAAACTACTTAATGTCTAAAAACTTAAAAATATAATCAATTTAAAACTAGCCTACATAAATGAATACAAATTTACAAAATAATATATATATCACCCCCAGTGCACCCGTCAGGAATGGTGCCCAATAGGCTGGCAGCATTTCCTCGTTGGATAGCAAGGCTGATCCGTTGACCAAGTTGGCTGCCAGCCTTTTGATCACCAGTACCTCGGTGAGTTTCTTAGACAATTCCTTAAAAAAGGAACGAGTGCTTGGACCCCATGTTACCATAGTCTCAACACCAAACGGCACAAATATGTAGCTATCATTGAGAGCTGAATATTTGCGCCGCTTAGAGTACCTACTCAGCAGAGGCCGCCACCGCGCCTGCAGCTAGGGAGGTTACTACCTGTATGGCACGGAGCAAGCGTATCCAAGCAACCCTTCTTGCTTAAGCTTCTTTGCTCCCATACAAGAGGTCAACCCTGCTTCTATGGAATGAGCGTCATTCCGTCAGGTCTCTTGCCATCGTCTCGGAAGATGCCACCAGGCTCTAGTACCACTGGCACATTGACAGCGATAAGATCCCTGCGGATGACGTCATTGATGCGGGCGTGGCGGGAGATTCTATCAGCGATCATTTGGCATGAGAAACCATGGTGTCTCATCTCACCGACGCGAGTTCAAATTTTTACTTGAATTAATTTTATTTTTTAACTGACCTCAATATTCCCATTACCCATTGCAGTGGTAATACTGAGACTACACTTTTTGTTCAAATCAGTCTCACTATTCCCATTGAATTACGAAACGACGAATGGTAATAGTGAGATGAATGTTCTCCTACAGAACGCTCATTATTCCTATTTGTATTGTTTAAAAAAATGTAATTTTGGTTTGCCATTATAAATTTAATTATAAATCTACATAATTAATTTTATTTTTATTATAAAAAAAGCAAAGATGCTTTATTTATTTCTGTAGTAGGACGACGATTTTCATTTTAGCTGGTCTAAATTTATAATGGCAAACCAAAATTATTCAAACTTTTGTAACGGTATTTCCAATAACATTTTACGCAGTTTGGTTTACTGCTGTTTTGAATACATGCAATCACAGATTCTCAATATTTCATTTACTCTAAAATAAAATGTTTTGTAAATCAAAATAAATCAAATGTGTGGTGTAAAACATTGAGTATAGAATTACTGAAATAAACAAGAGTTTTCTTGGTCGCAAATAGTCGCAGTTTAAAAACGCAACGGGAAAAGTGATACAAGTAGTATCACTATATCCGTTAATGGGTAACTTAACGGGAATAGTGAGACCCACCCCTTACAAAACAAAAAAGGGGGTTTTGTATCTTATACTCATAGAGCAACACGGCCGATGCGTTATATTCGTTTATATTCGAGATTTTTTTTTTTTTTTTAAGTTTATACTTACGATGTACCAAGCCCGGATTTGATGATGATGGGATCTTGGTGAAAACGAGGGAGCTCCTCAAAAATTAGAGGCACATCTATTTTAGTTTTTTTGTATAGTAACTCGTCTCTTTACTCTTCCTTTTCGAAAAGGGAAGCGCCCTTCCGTTCCCTTGTAGCTCCAGCTGATGAAGTGGAATTAATGTTGAAGAACACATATGCCCACGGGAACACATCATTAATATCATTATGCTATTATAAGTAAGATAAATTCACGTGAAAGGGTATATCAGGGTAGGCAGCGGTGCGAGTGATAGCTGTGGTATCGCAATCGTCTATTGGCTATGATGGGCGCTTACCATGAAAACAAAACAGGTTGAGCCACAATAACAAAGAAATATTAAATCATCCCAATTTGTTGTGTGTTTCTCTAAGTCAAGAGTCGTGTTCAATCTATTTTGAGAGTGCGTACATAAAACTGGTATCTTTTTAGAAATCTTATCTATACTTATAATAAATCTGTAGAGATGTCAGTTCTGTACATGAAATATATTTTTAAAATAACTATCAGGGGGTGATTAGTGATCGATACTGATGCCAAAAATGCAATCAGTAAAATTTTTGTCTGTCTGTCTGTCTGTCTGTCTGTCTGTGTGTATGTTCCTTATAGAAACAAAAACTACTCAACGGATTTTAACGAAACTTGGTACAATTATTCTTCATACTCCTGGGCAGGTTATAGTATACTTTTCATCACGTTACAATCAATAGCAGCAGAGTAGGAAATGTTGGGAAAACGGGAGAAGTTACTCCATTTTATATTTTTAAGCTTCCGTCGCGGGTGTCGCCTTAATGGTTAAAGTTACATAGAAATCGTGTATGACGGAAATATTCTACATAAAATTGTCTAAAAAATATCTTGCAACAGCATATGTCTATCTTTTATGGTTGACTCACAATAACACGTGTAATTATATAAATAAAGTCATTCTTTATAGCACAAGCCTGAGAACAAAAACTATAGTTTACACTACAGCTCTATACCGAAGCGAAGCGAGGGCGGGCCACTAGTTATATCAATATGTCTCTTCTATTTTGAAAATAATACTATTATAATATAATTTCTAAACGTTCTGACAGGCTGTTTCTATATTTGATAAAGATGATTATGATTTTGTATAGACACAATATATGTAATATTTTGTAAATATTGTTACATAAATTATTTTGGACGCTGTTAAGTTTATTTCGCCAGTTTTCTCCACCGCTAAAAATGTCCCTAACTGGTGGTAGGTAGAAAATATGGACGATTCAAAAGAGTTGTATTAAGCTTCTAATTCGGATAATGATTTTAAGACTTTTGAATAAATTCATCGTTCGACTCTTGAGGTCTGCGAAGAGACTTTGATTTTCCTGAATTTTGAATAAGTTTGGAAAATCTTATACATTTCCTTTCTTACGTTAACTTCTTTAAGGTCGGTGTGTCAATCCAATATTGTTTATTGCTTTTCAAGAATCTTGTACTTGGTTCTTACTAGTCCGTACCGCAACAAACTGAAGTTGGTGTGAGTCATGCTTAAACGGACGCAGGCAAGCAATAATTAATACTATCAAAAACAGGAATCCTCGGTATTTAGAGATCTTGAACGGGTTGCCTGAGGTCACTCACTGACTCGTTCACAGGCTGAGAGAGACATTTTTAAAATCATATAATTGAAAAAGCAGCAATGCAACCTGTTATCAGAATAGACAATGTTGCTGAGTTTAGAAAAAAAAATAACTTGCGCTGATGTTGTTCGAGCAGCTGTAGGTACAGTTTTCATTTTTTTTTTGTTTTTACAAACCATAAGTAATGGTGAGAAAAAAAATCAATTTAAACATTTACGTATGTATATTTAAAAAAAAACATCGGAAGATGAACAATGTTATCAATAACGCAAATTACACTGATACCTCATAAAACTTAAATAGTTCCAATTCCAAGTGGAAATTTGACTAAAAGTAGCTAATTGTTTTGGTGCGTTACGAAATATTGTGTCTCTTAATGATAAAGGTACTTAGTAGTAGATGTATAACATGATTATGCGGCACCTTTAATGAATGATTAATGATAATGTTCTTTTTCAAATATTAAACTGAACGAGTAGGATAAACAGTTTAGAAATGGTATGCTATCGAGAAAAGCAAGTTACCTATCATAATGAATTGAGATTTCTTGCTTAAGAAAAGAAGATACGGTACGTTTTGAAGTGGGTGGTTTTTCAAGGGAGGTTTGAACACAACCCTCTACCCCCGAAGTCAGGCGGTTTCAGGTGGTGGGTGCGCCGGCGCACCGGGCGGCGGCGGCGCCGTCAAAAGGTGCCCCCGCGCCTCGCGGCCTTCAGTTGAAGCCGAGGCCCGCGATCGCCGACACGTTGTGACGCCCACTCTCGCACCAGACTGCTGAGGTTCAACACGCGACAGTGTTCACTTGTGAGTTGCGCGCCCTTTCTCTCACGCAGTGTGATCGTGCGACGCGGTACGTGAATGCAAAACCGGACTACTCTCTTGACACGAGACACCGACCAGGAATCCGTCGTCTGGAAATATACATTATATTTGTTCAGGTGAGTGTTTCTTTTGAGTTTTCTTTGTATGTGTTAACGGCATCGGCGAATGTTTCTGCATTTGCGAGTTGTGATATTTTTGTTGACAACGACTATTCTGATTCGGGGTGACTTTCCAAAGGAGCGAGACTCGTTGGCGGTTGCGTTGTGTGTGGGGCGGCTCGATCAGTGCCCCGCTCCAAGTCGCGGCAACTTTTAGCAGATACTTCGTGTATGCGTTGGCGTACCGCAGATATCCGTTCCCTTACGAGTCGAATTACTTATTTGCCGATTACCTACACCGCGCACGATGTTGTACTGTTAAGGTTAACAGCTTCGACGGTATTTGTAAATATTCAGCCTGTGTTTAGGTAATGTACAGAGTCACGACGCAACTGAGTTTGTCTTTTCTTGTGGTAGGTGTTGTAATTTTTGCGCTCGAACGTACCATATTGATGTCACTGAGAAGATTGGCGCTCTATTTGACGCGTATGTTTGGTTCTTTTGTTCTTGTTATTATTCACTTGCGATTGGTGTGAAACAGAAAAACTAAATATTTTGTGAATTTTTACTTGCATGAAAAGATTTAGTGTTCGGTCGAAATGAGTCGGTATACTTCATCTAAATTATTTTAACTTAACTATCTTCTTTGCTTTTAAGATGAGTACAGTTTATTATTGAATTTCAGTTAAATTATATATATGGTGAAACCTACATAAACTAATTATTTTTTTATATAAAATCAGCAATGAAAAGACATGATGACGACATGACTAAACAAAGATATTTATTTTTTTACATATTAATATCGAATTTGCCTTGCCAATAAATGAACGAACATCACGTTTATGCAATCTCATTATTAAGCATACACATTATAAATGATAAATTAAAATCTATCAACATTATTCCGTCAAAGCAATAATTAAATCAGTGTAACTAAAATTATCGTTGTAATTAAAGTGATTTATATTATAAATTAACGATATCTTTCAAGAACTAAATTGGGGAATGATTTGTTGCTAATGATAAATTATACCAGCATCCAATCTGCATACACACATTAGGCAGTGGTTAAAATTCTTGTTTTCACTGTAATTTTCGCAATCAAAAACAAGTGATGTAATTTAAAACGACAATCGATTTGTCCCTAATTAGGAAATCAATTATGAAACAAGGATGTTAGTAGTGTTAGTATAAAGAATTTAGAAATATCTCATATGATTATGATCATTCGTGAAATAATTTTATACAATCTATTTTAATTTTCTGCATATTTCTATAATTCTAATGCGTTGAGGTTTGGTGAGGTTTGTTATGAGATAAGCGGCTAATTTTGGAGATATTCGTTGGAGGCGGTGTTGAAACACTCGCTCATTTTCTCCTTTCATAACAAAAATATACAAAATTGGTGATAAAACATCCCTAACCTGGATTCTTACTATAATATTGGTAGGGTGGATTTCCCTAGGCGCCCGAAGCGGAAGCAAACTCCATCTCACAGGGGGCAGAAGTGAATTTATACTAGAATAAGGCTTTCAGGGCTCTACGGGTTAGGGTTAGGTAGCAGAAAATTTCTTAAGCATGACGACAGACAAACAAACTTGCATAGTAGCCGTTTTTGTATGTAAAATTGCTACTGCGCAGCATTCCTAATCTATAACCGTTGCTCAAGAAGCCGGGGTGTGTAAAAAAAAATATTTCGTATGACACTGTGGTATAACATGTATCTATATCAACTCGTTGTATACAACCGTTATTAAATAAAAAAGCTATCAATTAATATTACAAACTAATCAGCGTCCTTTAAGAAGTTGATGTATGCACTCAGAGTGCAGCCAAGGTAACATGATTTTTTTATGGCCCACTTATCCCGTTCATAAGGAAAAGGGTTGATGATTTTAATTTATATATTGGACTATAATTATATAATAACGTGTAACCGAGGAGTTGAAAATATTCCACAAAGTAAAAAGAAAATGTGTAAATTATCTGATAGACACGCTTAATAATCAGTTTTTAAAGTGTGTTATTAAATTAATTGTTCGCGCAGTAACACCTATAACAAACTGGTATTGTAATTACTTGCGTACGTTCACGATATTTTATTTCCAATTTTATAAAAGTAAGTAGGAGTATTTTAATTTATTTTCCCTGTATAGCTATCAAGTGTTTAAAAGCCCGATCATTTACTCCTAACTCTTAACAATAACACTATTTAATTAAATTCAATTAATATAAGTTTCATTAACATTTCTTAAAATCAGCTCAGATATTCTAAATTCTAGTAGTATGTTGGGTCAGACGTTGAATTGTTGCTATAAAGTGACATGTGTTTCAACCTCTTTGGTCTACCAACCCCAGAGAGGTGCATATTTTATGTAGATTGAACAACTTTACAGTTTTCAAGACTAAAATAAATATCATCTAGGTATACTCGTACTATAGTTCAGTGTACATGTACCTAGTGTTTTTAATTAATATTACCTTCCATCTGGTGAAACTTGCTTGTTGTACACGCGACTATGATCATATATTTTTTAACAACCTACAGGAAAACTGATAAGTTAACACATTTTTGGACGTCTACACTTACTAATCCTCACGGGCCCGCTACATGGTTTATGGCCCGTTCTGTGTATCCTGACATGGAAGACCAATGCCTAAAAATGTTAGGTATATCTATCTATTAAGCTAATAGGGATGATGACAGAGTAAACGAAATTATATTAAGTGCGTCAGTAAGATTGTTAAAAAGGTAGTTCGTCCGAAAAATAATGGACACTTATGTTTTCGTCTGTCACTCAACTCAACCAAAAAAATAAAAAAAATGGAAAAACGCGTCAAAATTGGAGTGGGGCCTCGTGTCGTCACTTCTAAGTAAAAATTTTACCAAGACGTGACGTCATGCGACATTTCAAATCAATATATCTCCGTAATGTTTTGTTTATGTGAAAGAAAAAATAGGTGTCCCATATTTTTTGATAATCTACCTGATTGATGAGAGAGAGAAAAAAAAAACAAATTTCATCATCCCTATTATTTGCTTCACAATATCAACACAAATGTTGTTTGTTTCATATAAAACAAGAATACAGAAGTAATCCAAACAGAAAACACAAAAAGAATCCAGAAGATACTAATGTCTTAATATCATACACGCTATAAAATAAAACTCTTATTGCAATGCAGTAAAGGCGCTGTCAATGTGAATTCGTATCCTCCAAGGAGGCCTTGAATGTATCAAGAGCATGGTAATGACACCAAACTCGTTAGTAATTAAACTAGAACATTCTAGTGGCTGCAAGAGATAGCAAAAAGACATACAAACAAACCCCTTTATATGATTCATCTGAATATTTACCAATAAACTCATTAGAGTATGTTTGCAATTGTATCTAGTAGTCGCCTAATGCTGAAGTTATTGAGGTTCTTCCGTCCAAGAGTTTTATTCACTCCTTTTCCAGGGCCATAGCCAGAGTTGTATTTAAGATAAGGCAGCGGTAATTACAGAAAGGGCATAAGCAGGGGCATGTCGCCCCTCGCAACCTGCCAACCCGTTTTAAGGTAGGGCAATGGTACTTTAAGGTAGAGCATTGTCTGATAATGCCCTCCCTAGCTACGGCCCTGTTCTTCTTCATGAAAGTAATGCAAAAATGTAATTCACCTCCGTGCAGTGTGGTTAAAAAAGAATTTTTCCTTACCTAACTCTTAATAATACGATGTTACTCACAAGAAACAGTTGTACTCAAATAGTTCTTAACAGGAAAATGCATTGTTGTTCATCCTGTTTTTTGAGTGATTGAATCGTGTCAAATGACCATACTAAAAATTGTGGGCACCAAGTATGATATGTACCTACACATTTTTAATTACTAATTAGTTAAATGTTTAAAGTTTGTGGTTTAACTACGTGGCTTAGTGTAAAGATTATAGTAGATTGTTCATAATAATGCTGACCATTCCAGACTTCCATTGTTGAATAAATTTGGATTTATTAAATACATACTATATTTATGTAAATTATAAAACAAAAGTTTATTTCTTTTACCGGTTTCTTGGGAACTTACTTCGAAACTAAGTTTACTTAGCGTACACATTATGCGACTATAGACGTATTCAAATCAAATGTAACAAAAACTACATTTATCTATAACCGACTCAAAAAAAAAGAAATGTAATCGATTGGATTGTCTGTTTTTTATATACATTCTTTCAATCATCAACCGATAGCATCTATCTATCTTTATCATTATCTACTTATCTGATGGTCTATTTTTTATTGGTCTAAAGTTCTGAGAATAAGCTCAAGTTAATACGTTGTAACATCAGGCAACAAACAATAAATACTTTTTTTTTATTTATAATTAAAAGAAAAAAAGATAATTGAAATAATTTTAGTACCTATTTAAACATAAAAATATCCTTTTTAGTTTCATTACACGTCTAAAAACAAATCTAATTTAACACCGGAATTCATGTATAAACAGCAGCAGCCCTTTTCTGGGCCCTAATAAGATTTACATGAAAATCCCCAATTTCTTACCAGCGATTCCGAAATGCGTACCCAGCTTCCAAGGATCAAGTAAACTAGGTTGCATTATTGTTTTACGTAGGTACTAAGTATTATTTTAATTGTGCGTATCTTTAAATATGAATAAAAGAAGAAAAAATATATCAAAATCAACATGTCGGCATTATTTTATAATAAATAACCCTGAAAATTCATGCATCCAATGTAGGTAAAAATAGTCAAAATGGTTACTTTTTAAGCCTAGCGCAATTTTTTTGTTTTTTATTAGGTTGTTTCCGAACCAATAGTTAGGTTTTTTCCATTCTGAAAAAAAAAGAATATTGGCCGTGTCGGCGAACATTTTGTACGAACTTTAGGTCTAAGAATCGAAGTTCATAATCTGGAAACCGTACATATGTGTCCCAGTCATTATTACTAATATTATTTTCCATGCCCAAATTAACGTTGTAAAAGAAAAACAAGCGACAAACGGCATGTGAGAATTCAA